CCTGGCCGATGACACGGAAATGGAGATCAGTGCCTCACCATTAACTTCATGAAAAGGAGGGTGCCAGGAATGGCTCCATTATGAGAACATTAGGAAAACCGACCTTCTGACGGTTGCAAACATTCCATGTGCATTTTTCAATAGATCCTTCACGATATCCGGACGCAGCGTTCTCTAAGTGCCCTCGGCAAAATTGGCAGTTATTGTGCATGCGTGATTCTCGTGCAGCTTTACGACTCAGAAACGTCGACTTTCCTGAAATCATCTATCAACAGGCAGCAGGGCTTCAAAATGCGCTGCACTGTGTGCTGACCGAGTGGTTGTTGCCCACTGTCAAACGCGGAACACAATTTGACCGTTTCAGTTATCAGAGAGTTAGCGTGCAGTCAGTAATAGTGAATTCCTTCCCCAGGTCATTCAGGAAGGCCTGAAACATGAAAAGGAGCAGCAACAGCCATTCGTGGTTCAGAAATGGTCACCAGTACAGTGGTCACATGCTGGTGCATTGACGGTCATGCATGAAATGCGGGCAATTCCATCTCCCATGATATTCGTCGTTCGCGATTTCAAACCTGCCTTTGATTCAGTTGGACCGGGGTTGCTCAGCTCGTATAGCGTTGGACTCAGAATCAAGAACTCTCGTATTCAAATTCCTGCCGAGGTTGACGAGCGAGCACCATTCTGTGGGAAAGAAACAGCAGACTATACACTACGCTTACTACATAGCCGCTGTCGACAATATGCGGTTAAAATAAAGCATTACTAGGCTACATGGAGATCAGCGTTTCCATCAGCTTCATTTAACGAGGTTTGTCATGGATGGCCCCCAATCATAAAAGTTAAGAGAGACCGACATCCCAACGGCTACAAACTTTCCTTTTTCTTTTCTGTAATCGTTCATCATGCAAAATAGTTACCCGACAACCAAATAGATCACTTCATGGGGTGGTCAAGAAACTTAGTTAATTATAACCTACGACGAGTTACTTCTGAATTAGATTACATTAATCACCCAAATGTTGTCTTTGATGATTGGCTCGGCTCAACGGCCTCGCATGCTGCACTGATTAGCACTCTCCGTGCGTCTGTGTCACGTGCTTCAAGGAAACAGAATAGAGAAAACTTGCAATAAAAACTGTAACTGTTCTGCTGCTTCATTCCGTAAGACAGCTCATCTGTCGTGTCACTGCTGCCTGAGGTCATCGGCAACCTGGATGTAAATCAATCAGTGAGTCAAGAAATTTCTCATTCGTGAAAGCGCTATCGCAGCTTGAGCCTTCTTTATACTACCTGGACCATCGGTGCTTGTTGCAGATCAATTTCAGGAAGCTTACGATGCTTACGATACTGCGCTGCTCTTTGTTTCAGTGTCACTGGTCAAGAGTGCGTCATTTGTCTGCAGATGCGTAGCAGTCTTAACGACTAGTCTCAGACTGGCTTCTCAGACATCTAACACATCTCGGAAAGAACCGAAAAGCCATGGCCTGCTTAAACGGTCAAATGAGCATCTCGAAGCACCGTACTCAGACGCATCAAACCATATTTTTTCACTCATATTGAAAAACAGCATAGTAGGGATTTATTTTGTAAACAACACAGAAGAACAAAAAATTGACCGATTCCGACGGTTCGGGCCGCTTCTCACCATCTTTCACAAGGATTAAGATGAGGAGAAGTTAGGGGATCATTCCGGTAGTTTGCAACTAATCATGGCCGAGAGATCATCGCCATCAGTTATCGGTCAATTCTCTGACTGGTCGCCTATTGCGTTGGACATAAAATAAGCCGCTTTTATGCTAATTTTCAGCATGATCACCAATGCATAAACCGGATACTCCATCCGCCCTGATTTTACGATATTCGCTCGCTTGCGTGATAAGAACGAAAGGCTAGTGATTGGGCCAATATTCGAAGGGATGAGGGTGAGTGATCCATGTCCAGATTTGCGTTCACGTGGTTCAATGACATGTCGAGTGTCGATCAGAAGCGGTCTGCTGACATATTACTATCCGAGGCTAATATATCCATGGGAGCAAACCGTAGAGTCGCTAAGTCCATGAAAGTAGGATTCTCTCATTCTCCGTCATGACATCCCTCTCCGCCGGAACTCGACGATTAAAAGTCAAAAAGAGTTACCTGGGTCGTATCTGAGGGCCATGTCGACGAAGTATTTCGAATCCGGAAAAAGCTTCGCATTTTGCACGGCTGCCAGGAGCGGTCCATGGCAGAAGATGTCGCTGAACAATTGCATAATGCTTAGACTGTGAACTTGTGAAAAAAAACACATTTAATGAAAAAGCATCAACGTTACCAGTTTGTGACTTCGGTGACATGTGCCTCATCGATCGATACGAGGATGGAAATCGTTAGGATCGTTAAGTCGATCATCGAAACAACTGTTGCAGCCGCTCGCTAACTTTGTCCGTAGCCGATTTGAATGACACCCGGTGCGACGTGAGGTTTCGCTGAAAACGAGTTGTTGACAGGAAAAGTCACGTTATTGCCGACAAAGTTTCCCTGCATTTGTTATTCATCTTAGTTTGCTTACAGCCATTCAGCAAAAGTTATAAGCTTATCACCACTATGGCAATTAATCAGCATCGTCGTCGGCTGTTTTGCCAAATTCGTTACACACGTTATGCATAATAACAGTTCAGCGGGAGGCGGAGGGGGGGGGGCAAGGGTTCGTGTATGCGCTTGTACTTGTGTATGGGATAGGAAGTAAGAGGTAAACCTTCATTTGTACACGGGTCAAACTGAACTTTAGAAGCTTCACAGTCCAATTTTCTCTCATATTGATCGATCAACGAACTCTATCAAACCTGCTTCTATCGAAGTAGCTGAAAAATGGACAGCGAGGCAAAGAGCTTCTTCATTTTCTTCCTAGCGTGTTCCCTTTAGGAGTGGTCTACTAGAACTGAGCCAGCTTTCTCCTCATTTTTTTCCTTTGATTGATTCTTCGTTCACTCCTCACAGTTTCATATCGTTCTTGACTACATCGCGCCATCTTTTCGTTGATTTTCCCCTTCTTTTCCTGCCAGTATCAGTGTTTGGGCTATATTTCCAATGTACTCGGTGGGTTTTTTTTTCACGTGACCAAACCAACGGAGCCTGCCTTCGATAAGCTTCTCTGAAATTAGTGCTACCCATAGAGTGCTTCCCATAGAGCTGTTTCGGATGTGGTCCTTTCTTCTGACATCACACATCCATCTGAGCATTTGCATTTCTATCGAGTTCATGTCTCTTCAATATAGCCAAACAGTCCTCTTCGTACAGAAACTGCATCCGCTCCTTACTATCATACTGTACACATTTCCCTTTACTTCAATGAGCGTCTTCTTACCGCACAGTACTCCGCTCACTTCTCTCCATTTCACCCAAGGTCTTTTCTACCGATTTCTTATCTTGTTGTCGATTTCGGCACTATCTTGCAGGATGGAACTAATGCAGTTGAATTTTTCGGCTTGAGGCAGCATAATCACTGATATTATCACTGGTTTGACGGCCTTTAATCTAATGTACCCACTGAAATGGCTTGCCATATATTCCAACTTGCCCTTGCTGAGTCAAAGGCCGTTTTTCTCAAGGGCAGTTCTCCATTCCTCGGTTTTTGCTTCTGGTGCTTCTCTGCTTTCGTTGCATAGCGTAGTGTCATCTATGAGATGCGGTATGAGGCTGCTTCCTGCAGATTCTCAGTTATCGCGCCTCTCGCAACTGAGAACAGAAATGGGCTCTGTGTGGATCTTTGATGAACCATTGCCCGCAAAGGGAACTCTTCCTTTTCACCGCATGCACTTCGAACTATCGTTGTCACTGCCGTACGTGTCTTTGATGATCCTGACATATTTTTCTGGCCTTAGATTCTTTCTCCTGCTCCTCCAGATTGTTTGCATCCGGATTCGATAAAAACCTTTCCTCCGAACTAGGAACAACATTTAAATGTTCTGTCTGCCATCTCTGTATATTTCAGGGATTAATCTTAAAGCTGAGATGGCATTCGTAGTTGACGGGCTTTGTATAAGGCCACACTGGTTCGTGGTGATGTCCACTTTCTTCATAATTCTTTGTCCAGCCCCCTGTTGCTTTCATGATGTCACTAACCAGTTTAATACCCCGGTAGTTTTCACAAGTTAGCATTTCCTTTTTTATTTTGGCATCAAAATACCCTGCTTCCATGATTCCGGCTTCTACTCACATTCCATAATTTTTCTGCAAAGTACACAGAGCCACGCCTTCTTATTCCAATGCCTTCCATGTCTCTATGGGAAGCCATTTGGACCAAGAACTATTTTATTTTTAATTCCGCTCATAGCTTGTTCCACTTCATCAAGTGAGATCTCTTCGACTAGGCCATGGCTTCGTGGGATTTTTTCCCTCAACCTCTCTGGGGTGTTTTTTTTAAGGCAGTGAGGTAACGAAATTTTACGAAATGATTATAGCAGGGCCTTGGCTGACCAAAACATAGTCAGAAAGACGAAAAGAGTTGTGCTTAAAGTGCTGGCTGAGTTTCCTTACCCAAAGTTTATTTCATCATTCTGGCCAGATTTAACGTGAAAACCGTACGTCAGTCAAGAGAAACTTCGATTTCGTCCCCCCTCTAATGTATAGGCATCATGATTTATTTGTATACTTATTTGCTTATATTTACTTTTATAACATCATCGCTTTTCCCAAACTTATCTTGCTCCTGAGGCTTCAGTGATACTCTGCTTCATATACTTTCCTTGCCCTTAGTTCAGACTCTATTAGCTTTCCGCTGGGTGTCATATTATGAGCTTGTTTTTCATATAATCTTATATACTTGGTTGCCACAGACCAGCGATTATCGCTTTGTTCAAGAAACTGTTCCTTGTCTCCAGTCTATCTTGCCCGCTGAAGAAATTTCATCATATTTTACTGACTGACTGAAGGAGGACAAGTACACCATTCTTCGAACTGG